GCTTTAACGCCTGCCTCCAACACTTGGCTACCAGGTCTGCTTATTTCCCCTCTTTCTTTCCTGAGCCTCCTCTAAGCAGCTTTCCCACGGGACAAGCAACATGACCGGTTTAGCCTCCTCAGACAGCAGCAGGCTTGAGTGCTGATCACAGTCCCGTCTCGCTCCAGTCTCCCACTGTTCCCAGCAGCCTCGAGACCACAGCTGCTCTCCTCCTCGGACAGAGTTGTGATGATTGACTCGATAGCTCTGAGGACAACATGTCTCAACCTTTCTAACGTCCACACACACTCAGTGTGAATGAAGTCTTCCCAGTGAACACGCTCAAGTGAAACATCAGCTGTGCTGACATTAATAGGAACAACAGTGATTTTGATGTAAAGTACTTAAAACTTTTTTGTCTTTTTAAAGGGGAGATCCAGTGTCTGAGAGGCGAGCTGGAGGAGATGATGTCCAGGGCAGAAGACGAGAAGAAGAGGAGAGAGATGAGCGAGGAGGAGAGGAAGGCGCTGCAAGAGGACATGGAGAGGATGACAGAGGAGATAGAGAAGCTGAGGAGGAGGAGGAGGAGGGAGGAAACGGAGAGGAAGGGTGAGACGGAGGCCGAACAGGAAGAAAGGAGTTTCTTTAGTGAGAACTCGGGGAGAAGAGAAGGAGCTGAGGTGCTGAGGGATTGCATTGAGGGATTAACTGAGGAGGTGGAGGAGAGGCAAAGGGAAGAGGAGAAAATGAGGAAGGAGGTAATAGAGATGAAGACTCGAATCAACCTCATGATAGAAAGAGTACAGCGATTAGAGGGAGAGAAGGAGGAACTGGAAGAGGAGGTGAAGAGGACAGAGGAAAGGCTGAGAGAGGAGAGGAGAAGAGAGGAGGCGAAGCAGAGGGACAGAGAAGTGGACGCTCACCGTGAGCGGACGGAGAGATTAAAAAGGGAGAAGAAGGTGGAGCAGCTGAGGACAGAAGCTGAGAGGGACAGGTGGAGGGCGAGAGTGGAAGAACAAGAGGAGGAAAGGAGAAAGAAAGACAAGCTGCTCGAGGAGAAGGAGGAGGTGGTTGCAAAGCTGCTCGAGAAGCTGAAGGAGAAAGCGGCGGAGGCGGAGCTGATGAGGCAAAGGCTGAACGTGGCCAATGAGAGGTTTGATGAATTTAAGGCAGAGGCGAAATGTAAGGAGGAACATCGGGAACATCTGGAGGAGGAAGGAGAGAGGGACCATCGAGAGGTGAATGCCAGACTAAAGCAAAAGGAGGTAAGAGGAAGTAGGAAAGATGACACGATCTCCTCCCAGGTTAGGGAGCATCAGGAGGGACAGACAGCAAGGAAAAGAGTAAGAGAAATGGAGGAAGCCCGTGACAGGCTGCAGGTGGAGATAAAGGAGTGGCAGGAGAGGGCAGAGCACA